CAGAGAGCCCTTGCTGGGGCCACATGGACCTACGCTCAAATCGGGGCACGGCCACCTGGCTGACTGGGTGCAAACCACCTCAGCTTCTCCACCTGTCACATGAGCACTATAACAACCTTTCCCTCTAACACTGCCATAAGGACCGAGCGATGCACATAAAAGGAAGGGCTCAGCGCAGCACCTGCATAGGACGTGCTCAAGCAGGAAGAGAGGAGAGCACCCACTTCCGCCGCCACCCCCAAATATCCCAGAGCGCCAGATGGTGAGAGCTCGCCTGCCCTAACCCAAGGGTGCTCTGGGTACCAGACCCACGGCTGCAGGAGAGGCACCCAGAACGACAGCTCTAACAGGCTCCAGGAGACGAGGGAGGGGGTGGCCAGGGAGCCGGGGCCCTCCCGCCTCGCTCCCCCTGATCCCGTACTTGAGCTGCCGGGGCTCGCAGTCCAGGCCGGGCAGCAGCAGCCGGGCCGCCTGCCGGATGTCGCCGCTGTCCACGGTGAGGCTGCGCCGGTGCTCCGCGTAGGTGATGGCCACGCGCATCCACTCCATCAGCGGGGGCAGCAGCATGAAGGGCCTGCGAGGCAGCAGGGAGAGGGTCAGGCCCGGGCTCTTGCCTTTCACCAGGACACACCAGACCGCGGGCACTCAGGGTTCCAAGCCCACCGACCCGTTCCTGCCTCCTCCTGAGCACGAACCAGCTCACCTCTGCCCGTCCAGATACCACTGATCCTTCAAGGCTCAGCTCCGGAAACCTCCCCAGACCCCTGTCTCCAGAGAAAACAGTCCCCTCCTGCTCCAAGGCCCCTCACAACTCTCTTCCGACAGCCAATGCGTCTCCTCCTGACAGACGCTCCTGCTTGGGGAAGAGCCTCCTCATCCCTGCTGCCTCCACGCCACGCCAAGCACAGCCCGCACACAGGCCCCAGGAAACCTCTCCTGAAGGCTGAGCGTCAGGAACTCAGTCTAGGGCACCCAAGTTCTCAGCTCGGGACCGAGCCCTGGTTCTGCCCAGAAAAGAATGGCCTATGATTTCCACGGGTGTGGTGCTCACGCATCGGAGTGGGAAGCCAGGAATCCACGGGGAACGTACAGATTCTAAAAGGACCAACAATCCATTTGTGAATGACCCCTGTTTGATTACAAGCATCCACTTGAATTCCCCCTCAAACATTTCTGGGTTTTACAGTTCTCCCATGATAATGCTACAAGGCAAGCTCAAGGCACACTGTACATATCAGTCCTTTCCATCCAAGGGGAAGGTTTCACCTAAGCCACTAGCACCGGGGAATGAAGTGTAAATGAGAAAAGACTTGGTGGATTTGCCAGCCCTCTTTCCCCATCGTGGCCAACAGCCAGGACAAAGCCCCAAGTGCAGCCGCTCAGGTGACATCTCCCAGCCGCACGAGGGGAAATCCAGAGGGAACTTGGGAAATCGTGAAGTCTAGGCAGATGGGGCCACGATTCGTTCTGTTTCGGGCCCCGCAGAGCCTGGCACATGAAAAAAATTCAGCGTCGATAACCTCGGTGGCAGACGCTGGGGACGGGCTCATTTGGCCTCTAGTTCCCACCCGCGGACAAGCTGTGTGCCCTCCTCAGAGTCACTCCTGGGGGCTCAGCCTCGAGCCTGCTCCTTGAGCCGTTCCGGTGATTCTGTTGGTGCCCAGTTCCCTGTGTTAAATCTCTTCCTGCTTGAAACACCTAGGGTGGTTTCTGCTTCCTGATCTGAACACTGATGAATATTCCCAACATGCAGAAACCCCCCGGGCCAAGGTGGTTCCTCTGCCTCTGGGGTGGTGACTGGTGGCCACCTGCCACCAAAATGACCGCTTCAGGCCTTTCTCCTCGGCCTACCCGCCCCCCGGGCCCATGGTCCACGGGAAAGTAAAATGACAAACAATTCATGAGTTTTCTCGGTAACGTGCTACCCTTGGCCTGTGGGTTCCTGGTCACTATTTCCGTTCCGGTAATTTCAAGCCCGCTGGGCATGCTGAGAAGCGCTGGCCTGTTCACTGGACATTCTGGAAAACCCCATAAAAACTCCCTGGGCCGCAGCTGCGCCCTGACTCCAGGGTGAAGAGGCCCCGGAGGAGCAAGGCTGGGGTGGCTGATGTTGGCATCCTCCCCAGCGTCTCTCTGCTATGCTCCCTCCCAAAGAAAAAGGCTGTGTCCCTCGGCTGCGCCCGGCGAAGCCTCTCAGTGCCAGCGTGCATGTGTCTGCAGGGCCAGGGCCCGAGAGCAGGGCAGGGTGAAGGCACCTGCCGGTCTGGCAGCCGTTCCCAGAGCTTCGGTCTCTTACAAATGATGGAGGCCCCTCAAGAGCTCTTGTTCATGCGTGCTATCCTATTGATAACTACTGTGTCAGAAATTGAAACCGAGAAAATGTTACAACATCTGAATGCACCAGCTCAGATCCCATCAGACGTCAGTGAGAAATAACGTAACTGGGTGTCACACGTCTCCGGAAACACTCCTGAACCCTCGTAAGAAACTGAGAGTGAAAGGCAAGTAACACGTAATAATGAAAATAATCTTGGCCCTCTGAGCTCCCGGAAAGTCTGACACCCCAAGCTCCCCGGCCCCACCAGGGGAGCTGCTGCCTTAGATGAACGTGGCAGATCCGAGACAGGCTGCCCTGGGCTGGCAGGAGCAATGGGTGTGGGGCTGGACTCGGGCCCTGTGGGCACGTGGTCTAGCTAGTCCTGGAATGGCGCATGGTTTGCACGCATCTGAGGGTCCTACACGTGTGCCTTCTCTGCCGCATCCTCACTGGGAGAAAGTTCCAGTGTCCCGTGAACTGGCTGTGCAGCCTGGGGCAGATCGTTACTCTCCTTGGCCTCTTTTTCTACTAAAGAAGAGTGTTTTTCACCCACAGATATGTTCACTGATTTTTTAGAGAGGAAGGACGGGGTCTGGGGAGAAACATCGATGTGAGAGAGAAGCTTCAATCAACTGCCACCTGTACATGCCCCAACCAGGGATCGAACCTGTAACCTGGGTGTGTGCCCTGATCAGGAATGGAACCCACACCTTTTGTTTACAGGAGGACAGTGTTTCTATTTTCCACTGTGGAGCCCTTCTGCTGTTACTTCACAGACTGTCCGGTGACCAAGAGCATGGGCTCCGCAGGGAGACTCCTGGGTGGGGATCCAGTGCAAGTTCCCTTACCTCTCTCAGCCTCAGTGCCCCATCTGCAAAATGGGTACAACTCCTAGGACCACCTCACAAGAAATACGTCTGTGAGGTGTTCAGCAGAGCGTTTGGCACATGGTAAGTTCTAAGTAAAGGTTAACTGTTATTGCTATTTTAGTGTCTGTTGATAGACAAAGTACCTAATAGTAACAACAACAACAAAAGGTTATGGGAATCTGGTCCAATGAAGTGCCTCAGGTCCAGCCAATTCTGTCCCCGCAGGTCCCCAAGCAAGGATAAACAGGGAAAGCCTGCCAGCAAGCAGCTCATCACCTACACCAGTGGTTGGCAAACTGCGGCTCGCGAGCCACATGCGGCTCTTTGGCCCCTTGAGTGTGGCTTTTCCACAAAATACCGACTTCTGCACATGGGCCATGAAGTTTCAATCGCACATGCAGGCCCGTGGTATTTGGGGAAGAGCCACTTCAAGGGGCCAAAGAGCCACATGTGGCTTGTGAGCCGCAGTTTGCCGACCACTGACCTACACCGTCCACCTTATGAGGGAAGAAAACAAACGGGACCGCGATGTGGCCTGTGACCTGGGAACCATTGCTGGTGGTGCAGGCGCACGGCCTTGGCCACCAAGAACCCCGCACCGGGGAAGGACCTGCCTCGGGCCGAGGGTCCTGAACTTGTGAGGTGCCCGTGGGTGGGTGTGGGATTACTGCGTGGGGCCTGCCCCTCCTGCATGCACCAAATGCTACTGGCGGCCTAACCTACAGAGCCCCACGCGTTCATGCAAACACATCCGCTCAGTCCCGGCAATGACAAGCAGAGCCACTTAAAAGGCGATCGACTGGTAGCACTTGTCTTTGTGCATAAAAAAGCAGCTATTGTCCAGTGGATAGAGCGTTGGCCTGCGGACTGAAAGGTCCCAGGTTCGATTCCGGTCAAGGGCATGTACCTGGGTTGCGGGCACATCCCCAGTAGGAGATGTGCAGGAGGCAGCTAATCGATGTTTCTCTCTCATCGATGTTTCTAACTCTCTGTTTCTCTCCCTTCCTCTCTGTAAAAAATCAATAAAATATATTTTAAAAAAGCAGCTATTGTCATGGGGGTGGGAATCCAGGAAATACACAGATGGACAAGAATCTTCGACATGCAGAGGGCGAGAGGAGGAAACAGAGGCCCAGCCTCGAAGGTCACAAGCCAATTTGCCCAAGGTCACAGAGCCAGCTCAGCAGCAACATGGAGACCAGACCCACATGTCATGACTCAATTTCTCTTCATCTCTCCTTAAATTAATCATTTTGATGAGCCTGAGTCTACCAAGCCCATGGCCTCATAAGGCCCTTCCACAGGGCCAGGTCTGCAAAAGCCATTTTCCCTCTTTAAAAAATGGAAAGAGAATAAACTTCTTAAGGCCTTGGTTTTAAGAGGTCCCTGCAGCCTGGAAAAAAAAAATAAACCCTGCCCCACTCAGCAAGCATATGATTTATTGGGATTACAGTTCTATAAGCGGTGTCTTAACAACACAGAACAGGAAACGCCTCCGATTTCCAGCTCAAAGGAGGCTCTGTTCTTTGGGGGAGGTGGGCAGGGGGGGGCAGGCG